ACTTTTGTGTTTTAAAACAAAATCCAAAGGCCACTGGGCTTTCATAAAGGAAGTCAACTGTAGGAGTAATAATCTTAAACCAAATTCACCTAACATTTTAAAATTTACTAAGTGCAAATACTCAGAATGTCTTATCCATAAAGTAACCATGGTGTTCAATGCATGGTTTCTTACGGTATTTGTGTTTCAAGTTGTTTTTTAAAACAACATTACAAACTTTATGATAAACTGTGATACAGTTATTATCTCCCTGGCATTTACTGGTGATCCACCTGTTCTCTTTACGTGTAGTCTGCAGCAATGAATGAAAAGGAGGTTGTCTTTAACGATTCTACCTGTGCAGGAGAAGAGAACATGTATTCATATAGAAATTTCAGAAATTAAATGTATTGTGAAGTCAATTCACTTTGTTTTTGTAGAAGTAGCACTGTAACATCCTTCATTACCTTTTCCTGGGAAGGGCTATACTTCAACTCTGAAGTACAGGAAAAGGTCATTTCCATCTAATTGATGGAAGGATACGCACTACATCCCTGAAGCAGAAAATTAGCATAGTGGAAATATGCAGATTTCTCTCTTAATGTGTGTGCAAACACATACACACTTGAAGAATTGAATCCGAATGTAAAGATAATTCTAACGGTTCAGACTGGGAGTTTCCCAGTACGGGTGACAAATCCAGTTAGAATTCTAGTCAGACAATATTAATTCTCCTTTAAACACAATAAGTAGTCAGCCTGGATTAAAAAGAAATTAGTTTTATTTGGACAAAGGCACACAGTCTTTATTGTTAGATTAAACACGTATCTTTTACCTGCAATAGTAAGAATTTCAACATAATTTTTAATCTGATACCACAAATAATATCACAACTAGTCAATGTTCAAAACTAAAATGGATATTTAGTTATTTATAGCTTAATGATGCTTCAACTTTTTAAATGCATAAAATGGATATTTTTAAAAAAATGACTCCGCATTATGATTATGAGACTATTTTCAGAGGAAAACTCAACTATCACAATTTTTCCAGAACAGAAAAATCACAGCTAGCCCTGAACAAGAACAGTTACACCAGAAATCCAGAAATCAAAGCAAAAGGATTAAATTAACAAGGTAATGTACATCTGCTACAGTACAAGGAGAAATGGTAGATGGAGATTTGCTACAGTAAGATAACATACTTGGAAGATCATCAATGCTACTAAAATACATATCAAAGTCCTTTTTGTCCTGGGTATATTTAAGTAGTCCTAAAGAAATGCTTAATAACAGAAGTAGAAATGCTTCTAGAAATGCTCGTGTCAATACCTTTTGCAGGTATTGACATCAGAACGACTGGCTTAGAACAGATCTGTAGTGAACTTCTGTATCAAATTAAATGACAAGATGAAGAATTAATTTGTTTCATTTTTAACAAAACTTTTAAGTATAATCCTTACCTCCTTAGTCTCAGCATCTACAGGTACCAGCATGATTTTTTTAATGGTACTAAGTTTTTACATCATGGCTTGCAATGGTAATTTCTCCAACTAAAATAGTTGTTTCTTATTAAAAATGTCAGATGTTTATAATCATTAATACTGATGCAAATGGACCAACTCAACTGACATCTTCATAAAGGGTCTGAGCCCAAGAAATACTGACACTCAGTCATATGCTAAAGGTATCCATAGTTATTACTCATGTATTTGTTTCCCAGTAATTACCTTTCCTCTTGGCTACTAATACTGATTTGTTTCAATTCAAGCTGGAAATAGCCACAAAGAACTTACAGAAAACCATAAAATAGCTGGAGTCAGTGTAACTCTGCTCTCCTAGCAAAATGTTAAAAAGTAATTTGATCTCCAGTATTCCTTTTGGTCTCTCTTATGGTAGCAAGTTTCCAAGCTGTAATGATAGCAGACAAGTTGAAAAGAGCTTTGATGTAGGTTAATCAGTTGTTTCCAACATACTAAAACCCCTATATCTTTTGTAGTGCTTATGCCAATCACAAATCTTTCCACAGCTAATTCTCAGAACAGCTGAATAATAATAATAAAAAAAAAATCATTAGGTTGTACTTCCTACTTTGGAGGTCACTGGTTTATTTCTTGTTACCCTCTTTTCTCACTCTACCTCTCAAATTCAGAGCCATTCTAACACAGAAATAATTAATCTCTGAATGTGTAAATACAAATCTGGTAATTAAATAAGAAAAATTTTGCTTTAAAGACAAAAAAACACTCAATTGCAAATACAGACTGTACTCTTTCAGTTAATATATACATCAAGTAACACTGAACTTAAACATGGCCATTTAATTATTTAAAAAATGAAAAATGAGCCATTTTGAATTTCCTTGTAAAAATCACCAACATTTTATATGGTTAAACTTCCTCTTTAGGGAATACATCCCACAATCATTAATGCATATTATCAACGATAAAAAAATATTTCTGCACAACTTTAACCTTCAGCTCTGGATGTAGCATCTGTTTTCTATACAACAGTATATGACCGTAACAGGAGTATCATTTTGCATAATCAAAATAGGAATTATGTGCTGTTCATTATTAAGGTATCTTGAAAAAAATTGTCTTATTTGCTTTAGTCAATGGGAGTACTTTTCTGTTTAGATTTCCTAGATGACCCAAGTTACCCAGAAACACAGATGCTAGACCTAAGCGGTTTGGTATGAATGTTAAGACATGAAAGTTCAGAAATCTCCAAGAGACTTACCCATACAGTTAATACTGCATACTAACATGCCCCACCCCACCCCCAAAAAGCCCTAGTAAACTAATTCAGCCTAGGTACGTTAATACCCAGATTCATTCAGGAATCATATAGCCTTCCCAAGCAAGGTGGGTTCCCACTTACAGGAGTCTCTCTGCTTTTAAATCACACAAATGAGAACTATCAAGGTGTTGGACTGGCGAGGACACGGACATGGGTTAGTAAATTGCTGGTAAGATAGCTAATTTAACATGTTCAAATCACCTAGGATAAAAACTTACTCTATGTTTGAGCTTGACTGTAAGGGTACCCTACTGAAATAAAAAGATAATGGCAAGTAATGACTAGATGATTATTAACATTCTACATAATACATCATTTTTCCTAGAGTCTACTAAACTTCTCCCAAGAGCCTGGTAATGTAAGTGATCATGAATTGTTATTGACATACTTTTTTCCAAAAAGCCATCTAAATCTTCCAAAATGTCAGCAGAAGTGTTATGCTTCAAGATACAATTTGTGGGAATTTTTAAAACCATGAAGAGTTTTACATTTGTATAATAGTACACAACAACAATAATGTCCTGGGGTACTTTATCTGTGAGTTCCCAGCAGTTCCTTTGTTCATACGTTCTGCCTGAAGCATTACTGGTTTCAAATATTTGGAAACTTCCCTTGCCAGTACCTCTTCAAGCTAGGGTATCAGAAGTACTTCTGCCAAATATTCTTGTCAGCTACATGTCCAGGTTAAAAAAGAAATCCTAATTTTGGGGTTTCTGCTGCTAAGTTTTAGTCAATACACATGTAAACCAAGAAGAGGTAATATGACAACAAGTAATTCTTGCTTATGTTCTTTGCTGTCGTTGTTCTTTGGTTTAAAATATATGTGAAATACAGTTTATGAAATAACTCATAAAAACTTCTTTTTAACATCTGTGTTCTGCATTAACCCCTTAACAGTGCTTCAATATGTTTGACATCCCGTGCCGTAAATCAGTATGTGTATTTCCTACGTAGTACACAGAGAAGGAAATCAGATGTTCTTCCAGAGAAAGTTTCATATTTATTCAGAAGGCATACATCTCAACTGATTTTTTTTATTAAATTTTTTTTTTCATGAAACTGATAAATTAAGGGACTTCTTACTGTTTGAGTAATATTAAAAGCAATATTCATTGGTGTATATCATAGTTCAGAGGGCCTACACAAATGCCCCATACCATTTAAACCCCTGAGTAAAGGTTTTAAATGATATCACATGGGATCTCATCCACTGTGAAGGAAAACATCAAGGCATCCTGGAATATAAGTGTCTTGAAAAATACTTTAAAGCTTTGAAAAGTTCCTCCTCATTAGAATACACAAATGCAAAATAATCTATCCTATATCCAAAACAATCCAAGGCGTAACAATAATACCTGGATTTGACCTTTAAGAAACTCTTACAGTCATTAAATACACATTATGAAAAAAACTGGCAAATCTGAAAAGGTGATCGTTATTATATACTAAAGTTGCCTTTAAGTTTTAAGGTAACAAAGACTATATGCATGCAACTTTCTGACACCAAACTTCAAAATCATCAAGAAAAAGCCTGGACTCTTCAAAATGTTTTCATTATTAGTGTCCTGACTTAAATGACATATACATTTATGCTGATCAGGAATGAAAAATGTGCTGTATTAAGATGAAATAAAGTACATCAAATTTCAGCCTAACAAGAATTTTAGGAGAGAACTGTTAACTGAGGTCTGTGGGTTAATGTCAAATGAAAATTTTGTCTACTATCATGTTATAGAAGAGTCAGTACACAGTCATAACCGGATTGTAACATCTAAACAGGCACTTTTTAAACACCTTGTTAGTTTAAAATCAAGGACAAAAGTTTTTTTTAAACCATTTGATGTTTCAAAAGGGCATGAATCACTTGTATGCCTCTCCACTTTGTTACGTACAAAAATTTTCACCCAGCTTAAAAAATGAAAACATCAAAAAACTCATATTGGTTATGATCACTACAAATTTTAAGATGACAGCTTTAAGTAGAAGAGTATTGCAAAAGTGTCTCTGCTAAAATGAAAGCTCCAGGCTTTGTTTGAATTCTCAACACAGCAAACTTACTGTCTGATAGCAAACGTGCATTTCATTGCTCAAGCAAAAGCTTTAAAATAAACTGCAGTGCAGAACTTCAATATGATTCTAAGAACTCATTAATGCTGATACCACAGGTGATTTACTGTTTTTTGGTTTTGGTTCTTTTTTTGTTTTAATAAAACCTCCCCCTCCTGCCAGAATACTGTTATACAGAAAAAAAACCTGCTACTCTCTACTATTGTCAGTCTTTCAGATACGGTAAAAAACCCTCAACATACAAGAGTTTTAGAGCAAGTAATCAATCTGCAAAATGTTATACATCAGTAATAAGGCATCCACTTTACAGCTGCTTAAACAAAAAAGGAAGTATTTCCCAAAATATATATTTTGGATCTGTGTAAACAAAGCTTATCTGTATTGCTTCCATTCATTTCAAAAATATACACCCACGTGGACTGAAAGTGATCCTGGTGCTATGAATTTTAAATGACTGTAATTTATCCAGATGTAATCTGAAGATACAAAACCCAAACATTTTTGAACTTCATATTTTGAAATATGTCAAAAAATTTAATTATTCTTATGTGAAAAGAAAGCTAAAAATATACCCCAAATTTGATGCCATTTCATTGAATGAAGAAGAAAGTACTATGAAAATAAACATTCATCTGGTTTCCTAACAATAAATATAAAGACAGTTATTGTAACATACTGCAACACAGGAAGTATTACTATATTGACCTTAACGTTCAATCAGTAGTTTTTAAATCTTTCCTCATTGAGGCTTGAATCTTCTACCTTGTCAGCTGTCCAACAACTTTTAAGAGGGTTTTATTTTCTTGCTTCAATTGTTCATTTTCATCTTCTATATCATCTAGGTCCTGTGAAAGGAAAAAGAAAAATAAACATTTCTCAGGACATAAATACAAGCTCTCAATTAACAGCAGCAGGAATTTAGCATCTTAGCTCCGAAATGAAGAAATTGGGGTTGGGAAGAATTAGTGTCACAGTAGCTACCCTTAAATCTGTTAAACCGTCCTTTTTCCAAGTGTTATTGTAATTACAGAACAGTAATATTATATTCCCATGTACAAGAACCTTTAAATGGAAACATATAATCAAAACTTCCTACAGCAGGAATTAATGCATCAAGAAACCAAAATAGGATGGGCGTGATTATTTTATTGGAATACACCGAGAGTGTATCAGTCACCTGTTGCCTCTGCTCCCCAGGCTGTGCTTGCCTGCAACTATCCCGCTCACATATACACATCACTGGTTATTACTGCAAGAAGACCTGCTTTGTGTTTTAAATTAAGTATCAAAATTTTCAGAAAAATTACTGCCTGGCCACTTTTTTTTTTCCCCCTTCATTTTCTGTGAAAAAAATTGAAAGGCATTTTGTAACTTCTGTCTAAACTGTTACTGAAAGAACAGACAGCATACACAGTCATAATGGGTGCTTAAAATAGACTGTTTCCACCCCAAATGTTCATCCCTCTTCCACCAATTACCATGTTTACCCAGTCCCCATTTCACTTTCTTCACTTCCTACCAAGTCTTTTCAAGCCTTTAAAGTGAAAACCAGTGAACTTGGCTGTTTAATGTAAGCATTACTTTGGTAAAAATAGTTTTATTGTACAAAAAACCATGGAAGAAACAGAATGAGAATGAAAAAATGAAGAAACAGAAGAGCAACCTCAAGGACAGCACTTTAAGGAGGAAAATGAAAGGCAGGCAAAGGAGGAAGAATCAGGATTCTCATTAGAGATCTTAGATGCCTTTTGATTGAAGTCTGCAAAACCCTACTGTTGCCATACTAGATTAAACATAAAACAGTAGTAGAGAAAAGATTTTCTCTCTCTTGTTCCTTTAAGTTCTTAAGCTGAGTTTGACATACGGAGCCTATTTTCTTGTTTCTTTTTAGTGGGGTCATTCCAGAAGGGCATGCTAGAGATGTTGTGTTTAATTGGTATCATTATTTTTAACAGCCTCTTCAGTTTGCCAAGCCAAAATCCATACTGCAATACCTTTGCAATTACTTTATTGTTTTTGTAATGTGGAATCAAGAAATCACTAGCAGAAATTCCTCTTTCCCTCACAGAAGTAATGCTGCATCACAGTATGAACAACTTCCAAGAACAGCATTTGACCACTCCGACATAACAGATACAAGTGACTTAAACATCTAAACATGGAAAGTTTTGATGGATAGCTACTATAAATACAGTTTACTATGTCATTCTAAGAAACACACTTTGTTTTCTCTCTTGTGCAGTTCAGATCAACAATCGGATGGAAGGGACAACTTTTTCAATAAAACGGTAATTTTTTTAGTTCAGTATACATAATACTGTGTTTGAACTCGTTGTTAACCTAGCCATCAGATGCCTCAATTAAAGCTTACCTAAAAACCTTCTGTTTAGAATACCTGTAATTTACTCAAAATAAAATATTAAAAGTTTGTGAAATATTTATGCTGCAAAAATAACATTCCAAAAATTACTACAAGTGAGAGTTTCTTGAATATGAGACAGGAAAAGTAACTGTTTGAAAAAAAGCAGTTTAAATATCTACAGAAACAATGGACCAAGAAATGCAGGTGTTTTTTGCCACTCTGAAATTTAAAGTTTCGTATTCAAAATTACAACACTAATGTATGCTTATTAGTAAAAAAGATGCAACAGCAGGAAAGCTTGGACTTCACATGCCAAAGGAACCGATAACTACACAACTGCCACTAATTGGATTGTAAATCCTCACCGACAGACTCTCTCCAAACACACATTTAACTACAATGACATCTTAGTGAGGTCAGAGATGACCAAGTGTAAACTACTCGACAGTTGAACTTAGCCTACAAATATTTAAGTGTCTTGAGATGCCTTTCCCTTCAGACATTTGAGGTTTTTATGAAGCAATTACCCCTTTCTTACAAAAAACACGGCAGACATACTCTTAGTGGCTTATGTACTGGAGTGAAAGAATGCCATTTATGGCAGAAAGCCTTTTCTGTTTCTCAATATGGTCTTTAAGTATCTTTGTGATGTACTGACTGATCTCAGTAAAATTATATTGTTACATTAAATAAATATATTTACTTAAAATGAGAAAAATCTGCCAAGAAGTTCTCAGGATTCTTGGAAAAACAGTTTTTCAAGCGTAACACAAGATCTTTGCCCCTGAAGGATGCATCCATGGTTATGAACTGGCTTAAACTTCTAGAAAGAGCATTTCTTTAAATATGAGGGCTGAGTAGTCAGAAAGCTATGCAATAAAATGGCATTTTAAAAAGTTATTTAGGCTCTTTGACTTGAAATTCTTTCCATGTCTATGCAACCTAACATGCAATAACTACACATTTTGATTAACAGAAAAGATGGAGAAATACCGTGAATGTGTAGATGGTCAAATTTAAAACCCCCTATTTAGGTTACCCACCAGCAAAACCTTTTAAAGAGATCTCTGCATAAGCTCACTAAGTAAAGTCCAGTCCTCAGGACATTCTTTTATCTGAACAGAAGGCTGAAGATCACAACTGTTCTTCCAGGCAAAGCATCCAATCCTGGTGCCAGGTCTACAGAGTAACATTCCACGAAGAACAGAGTGCTGGCTCTCATGATCTCAGCTACGATAAACCTTAGGCAAATACGACTGCACTATTAGCTTCCATAACATTCTGTCATGGGAATGATGCAGTATTTCTGTAGCTTTTCTTAATATTCTAAAGCTTTCCTCTTTCTAAATCCACATGGATAGCCAATATAGAAGGAATCATAAATCCAAGAGCTATTAAAAAAGAAAGTAAAACTGCATCTGTTTTAATGGAAGCATCACTTGAGACACGGGTTCAAACTTTTGTAAGACGACAAATTATTAAGCTGGTCATAAAGTCAAAAGGCAGCTATTTTATCGTTAAGAAAACCCCAAGGGATGCAAACATAAATAGCTTGCACTGCAATTAAGCTAACAGACAATGTTATAGCTATGATAAATGCTAACCTGATGGAGAAAAATGTAAGAAAACATTCTCTTCTGCGTTTGCGAGAGGCTACCTAGGGAGCACCAATAAGGTGGCTTTACGTATCTCATGGAACGGTACAATTTTAGTCATTTTATAATAAAGAGGTTTTTGGAAGGACTATATTCTGGTTTATGTTTTCTTTCCACACAACAAGCAGAAATTGCCATCGTACTTCAACACAAGCAAGGCACAGGCACTGCTTGACTTCACTGCAAATGTTCAAAGACTGTTTCTAGTCAGACACTCAATGGATTTAATTTAGGACATCATACTTCAAACATAGCAGAAAAAAAAAACCCAGCATTGTTTCTGGAACAGCAAACCTTACAAACAGTCATGGTCCTAAAACACAAGCTTTCAATGATTTAGGGTCTTTTCATTTGGTCTTTCTGACCTCTGAGTCAGGAAGTCAGGTGTGACCAGCAGTATTAAGTAGCTTTGTCATCCATTATGTAGAAGGAAAGAACACTTGCCTGACTGTATCAGGTCATCAGCTTAGATGTGACAGATTCTTTGCAGACAGAACGGCATAAAGACCAATTCTCCAATTAAAATAGAAATCTCTCCAAAACAGACAATACTTCATTTATCCTACAAATTAACATTTGACTTTCTTTACAAAAAAAAAAAAAAGGTATCTGTTTCAGAATAATCTCAGCTACTTTAGTTCTCTAGATTAGTTGCAAACTTTTGTTGTCCTCCTTTGCTACAAATGAATAGTGCAAAATGAAAGTTTGCCACTATGCACATAGAGTTATTGCCTCCCTTCACTGCTGGATTGACCAAAGCCAGTTCCAACATTTTTTTCTGAATTTTTATGGGAATGTCTGCACTGGTCCAGTAGAAGCATATTTCCCTAGTACATCCAGGGCCTCAGCCGGGAAGTTCAAGATGACGTCACTAATCCGTTCTATGAAAGAGTTCCAGTCTGCCCTTAAAACTGCGACGTGTTAAAATTGGTATCTTCTATCAACTTTAAAACTTTGCATCCTGTCCCATTCCCAAGCATGTCTCACTCTTCTACCCCCTCTTGTCCTGCCTACACACCTTGCCTGAGTGATGCTAGCCCAAGTCTCCCGCCCCCTGTCTTGTTCTGCCTTTACTTGGGGATCAACGGTAAAGAGTATGAGAATATGTGTCAGAATATAAAGCACTTACTCCCAAATCTTTCTAAGATCATCTAAACTATTATTAGTAATTAAAAGCTGACTAAAATGAAATTAAATTTATAATTACTTTGTCTAACAAAAGTCCTTGGTAACAATTTATTGAGAAAACTGTCAAAACCCCAACTTAATTATTTCCTGGTATGCTACGTACTGAATTTGGAAAGAAGAGTCAGTAAAGAACTCTTGCTTTTATAACCTTGTTCTACGAACACTTATAGCAACAAGAAATTTAGGTACTTCAGTAACACACAACTTACGGGAGTTAATCATGACAAACAGAAGTCACCTGGAAAAAAAGTAACTTATTGACATGCCTCTTGAAAAGTTACACAAATACAAAGAAACCCCCACACTTCATTTTCTTCTGACCTTGCCCAGTGGATGCGGGTGCCTGAAGAAGAGGACAGAGAATGCAAAGGCTTTTATCTCCTCTTTATATAGCACTATATAAGAAAGTGTGTGCTTACTCTGTTCAATAAATCAATTTCTTCCTTCAGCTTTCCAATTAGTTCCTCTTTGTCCTGTGTCATCTTCATTAATCTCGCATTTTCCTGTCTCTCCTTTGCAAGTTCCTAAAACCAGAATATACAATGAAGTTTGAAATGTAATTTTTGGTTTTAAGAGACAGTTTTGATTTATTAACATTTAAAACAAACAAACAAAAAAGAAAAACCCACACACACTTACCTACAATTCCTTTTCTACACCAACTCAAACCCACGTCTTCAACCCCTTACATTTCAAGGAGCTAAAGAATCACATCTAAGAAAATATTTTACCCACAGCAAACCTGTGTGATGTCTCTGATTCCAGAGATAATGTTTTAATTAATATTTAACTTAAGCATGAACCCAAAATTGGACAGGGGCCCAAAACAGAAGTAAATAAATGTAAAGTACCAGCTTCCAAATTTGTTATATTGGGAGGGTTATTAATCCTTTTTTTTTTTTTTTTGTCAGTTTGTTTGGAGGAGTATTTTGGGGGGGGGTGGGTTTATACTGCCGTTAACAAGGAATGAAGACTCACTGTTAGATCTGTGGGCCTGAATGTGAGAAAAAAAATGAAAATGTTCATTAGGAATTCAGTAAATCAGGGTTCAGGATATTGAAAGAAAGCCCTTAAATCTTCCTCTATTTTCTGTGTTACTGGCAGTTAGATTATTTCAGAAGGAAGCTGATTTGGAAGGGAGGATTACAGTATACTTCACTCAAATCAGGCTTCCCCTAGTCTTCAAAAAAAGTAATTTCTACAAAATATGCTTTATTTTCAGCCTTTCCAAAAAAGATCTATTCAAATTGTGTTTATTTAGTAACCTTCATCCATACGAAATCAAGAATATTTGGCAAGTTACACACAAAAATCCACTTCAGAGGAAGACAGAGAAGCCAGTAATAGATTACACAGATGACATTATTTAGCAAAATACTGTTTTAGGTGAAAATCTCAGCTTTAACATTATTACATTTTCCCAAAATTGTCTGTATGAAGAACGTCTGAAATAATGAAAACTTTGTTTTAAATATATATTTTAAATGTTTAAAACTTTAACAAACAACTGGATAGCAATTAAATTTTATATTTCAGTACATTAAAAAAAATCCAGAACAAGCAGTAGATCGGAAGCAGGCTTGCTAATTTTCTGAACAGCCAGCGAGCCCCTCCTTCCCCCAAGTTATCTGCCCTGTGTTGGTGTGTCACGACGTACATATGAGAAATACGCAGAGCACTGCTGGCTCTCTAAGTGTATGATCTTTACCTCAACTATTTCTCACTCATATACCAAATGAAAACTAAACGTCTGTGTTTAGAAAGTTCACATTCTTCTCAGTCAGTCTGACTCTTTATAAGTTTTTACAGACAAAACTATCTGTACTTCAAGCATTTAGCATCATTTCTAGATATTTTACTTGTAAATTTCCCGATGGAGTTTCAAAGGTACTTTATTTCAGCTGTATGCCATGCAGGTGTTAGTTGGTACTTACCCTTTCAAGTTCGTCAATCCTCTTTTCCAAAGCGTTACTTGGTACAGAACTGCCAGAAGAATTTGCATCCCTGCTGTATCTGCTGTAAGTTGTCCTGTCTGTTCGGGAGTATCTATTTGGAGCATCGTCTTCTGGTGCATTAGCTGTGCTACAAAGGCAAAGAGCAAAGCAGACACCTATTTACGCATTTAACAAAATGGAAACGATAGAAGTAACAAGAAGTGCTTTCCAAAGCACCCAATAGATCAGTCTAATAAACTGCAGAGAACTTATTTCACAGCTCTTGTGTTGCTGAGAACTCACTAAATTCACTGCCTCAGGGAGCTGAATACTTGGATAATGCAGCTCTCATCACATAGGTAATCAACTTTAAACCCATACTTATACTTACCCTATCTTATTTTTAAAGATTTAAAAGTTGCATATGAACTGTGCACATTAAAAACCAAGTTAAACAACTTTATTTTAAAAAGTAAAATACCACTACGGTGTTTAAACCAAGCATCTTTTTAAGTAGATTAAAACATAAAGGATGAAAAACAAGTACATGTCCAAAATGTAAGAAGCTTACACGTATCTTTTCAGGAACTATGGAGATGGCCTGTAAGGAACTGGAAAGCAAACCAAAGTGAGAAAGTGATGTGGCCCAATGTATTAATTTTATGCCATTTCCAAATATTTTACTTCAGAACTTGGATACGCAGCAGTTTGTCACAGCTCAGTTGGTAGGCACTCACTCATTAACTGGTGATATGTTTCTTCCTTTAGATCATGTGTCTATTCCTCAAAAATCACTGCAATGGAATCTTAACAGATAAGCACTGCAAAGGCACATAAGCTAGTTTTAAAAAAGCTTATGGGTTCTCCATTGTGATTGCTATGCACAAAACCAGTGCTATTTTAAAAATATATATATTACAAGTCAAGCATTTTCAAAGTCACAAATTTAACAGTGTTCTTCCCACAGCTATTTTCTGCCTAATAGCAATGTTATTTACCTTCAATGTAGAATCTAATGAATAATTAAGAGCAGCAGAACAGAGCACCCTGGGACCAGGCAGAGAGATACAGATCTTTCACTCCCCAATCCACCAAAACCACACTACTTTGACTTTGAAAACATACAGCTAAATAGCCAAAGACAAAAAACCCCCTTGTTCGGTCTTTACCAGGAGAACTCGAATGGAGACACTCAAAAGCTGTCTGGACATGGTCAGAGTATATGATTGAGGTGTTCATTTAACAGTTTTGCATTTCATAACTCTAGAAAACCCCTGCTGACAATGTGCAAATCTAGATGGATACGGTGCAAATCAAAAGCAGGAATATCTGGCAAAGGGATGTCTTTTCATGGATATAACTATTGTTTTGCTCCAGTATGTGTGAAGCTTCCAAGGCACACAATTCTAAGGAATTTTGTAGCTTAATGTTATTACCATATTTAGCACTGTTTATTCTTCATCTAGAAGATTTTTTTTTTAAAAACATTTCTAGGACCGGATACGCATGTTGCAACACAACATAAGAGAAATATTTTAGCTTAACTCTATAAATTCTAGATTATTTAGCTTTCTGAAAAATGTGTTGTTTCGTGCTGTTAATGTCACAAGGATAGACCACGCAAAAAAAGGCTCAATTTTTCATCACTCAAAAATGAACCTTTTTGCCAATATACTGGAGTATCTCAACTCAGCTCCAGTGAGTGGTATTGGCAGATGCTCCTACAGGAAAGTTAGAAGGAAAGAATATCCCTAGATAGGACGGGTTTCATTAATACTGGAAATTAAGACATTTTCTGTATTTTCCCTGAAACTCACACTCAAGAATTTCTTTGTCTATTCCGCTGGGGAGCAGACCCTACTGAACACATTCCTTTTCAGTATCAGCAAGTACAAAGGACGTATCATGAAGACTTCTAGGAAATGGGATTTTAACAAACATTTAAGGAGGCACTGGTCCATAACCTAACACAAGGAGTGTGACGAAGTTCAGTTTTTTGGCTGTTAGAACTAATGTTCAGTACACAGCAGCAGCAAAAGAGGTACCATTCCAGACATGGTAGACGTATCTTTTGCACAGCATGTAATTTTAGTCTTCAGATACAGTATCACTTTATGAGTCTTAAACAAGAAAGAAAACTTATCTAAAATAACAATACCACTGAACTTGGTGTCTATGCTTTGCTAAGAGAAAATACCTATCAACCAGCCCCAACAAAGATCTCTCTGGAAATAAACCTCTAAAAATGTAATAAAAATACTAATACTACTACTACTAATAATAATGATAATCTGTCCAAACTGAAGAGCTTTGTACTACTGAGAAAACAAATTGGGTTTATGCCTTCGGGGGTGGAGGCGGGGGCACAGGGAAGTGCATGCACGTGACAGCAGAACCCATTTAGTTTGAGACTGCAACTGAAACCTTGCTTCCTCCGCTTTCTAACTGACCAAAGGTTTACAAATGCTTGCAACTTGGAAGTAGCTGGAGTCTCACAAAAGGTATGAAAGAAAAGAAAGCCTACTGTCAGTAGATGTACATTGGGTAAAAGTGGTCATTAGCACCAGAAGAAAAACGACAGGGGTCTGGCAAGTTGAAAAAATTTAGAGTCACTGCTCAAGAATGCAATTCAAAAAGTATTCCACTTTTCAGCATTCAAGTAACTTATGCACATGACTGTTTCAACACTTGCAGTTGAAACATCTAGCCACAGGCTACGGCTGCAGGAAACAGTATTTTTTCAATTATTTTCCACGAAGAGTGTCTGAGATTGTATTTGTAGCCATATGTACACTAGATTAGAGTGCCCACCCAGAGAGTAGCAAATGAGAACGCATCTGGATAGAAACATCCCTCACTACTGCTTCAAAAGGGCATGTTCAATAACATGTTTGAGAAAATTCAACTTGTTGTTCCATCAGCTTACTTTCAATTAGCCACTATCAAAACCTCATTTTAAATGTGTATTCCTGTACTAGAATGCTGAAAACAGAAAACACTTTTGCAACTTAAGACGAGTTGCTTTTGAAAGTTTTTTCTGGCTGTGCTTAAATAAAAATCATATAGTGAAATCAACCCACATTGCAGTTTGACTACTCTTACACAGAAACAAAAGCTTTGTTTCGGAATGATGTTCAGTAATTTTCTTTAATATAAAATGAAATCAGTTATTCGCAAAGGGGCAGGTTTAACAGCAATATTACAGTAAGGTAGAATAAATCTTGCTCCTTCCAATGCCTCTTTGGTTCTTTCAATGTTTTCCTGAAGCACTGTCCAAATTGCAATTTCATCCAATTAAAATCACCCAGTCAAAACCAGATTTCATAGAATCACAGAATAGTTTGGGTTGGAAGGGACCTCTAAAGGTCGTTGATTTCAACTACAACACATTTGTTTTCATTGCCAGAATCTTGTAACTATACTTGATTTGGAAATTCCTTATGTCACTGAAATCCAGTCAGTTGCTAACAGTTTCTTTGGAAGAATGAGCAAAAGACAGTATTTCTAAATAGGCCACCTTGGACTTCTGTTACTTTGGACTGCCTAAGCCAAGTCCACGGCTTTCAGAGTTGAGCTAAGGAAAGGCAGTCTTGTCTTCTCTACAGCTGTACGTTCCTAGCCTCCTCCACTTTTCCTGGCTCTGGCCTTCAGGTGACTTGAGTAGGAAACCATTCAAGGAGCTGATGCAGCAATCCAGCAGCCCAGCCAAGGAAGCCATCAACTTTCAGCCACAGTGGCTCCCTGAAGCATCACCCTGTCCAGTTGCGTGAGCACTGACACAAGGGACAATGAGGAACTGCAGCCGGCTCAACTTAGACCATCAAAAACTTCTGCAGAAATAATCCTAAGTGTTTCTGCCCTCTCATAACATCAGCATTGGCTGAAAAGGGGATACAGAAGTCAAGAAAAGCACCTGGAGTGACCCCTGTCTATTTTAAGTGTTCACATCTGCACAGTAGTGATCCTAATGTAACAAGCTAGATGAGACAGTGCTTCAACAGCCAACCCTTGCTGCAAAACTCCCAAACACAGGCAAGTAGGCAAGTCTGGGCATAGTGTCATGAAACATTATTTTGCAGCTGTATTTTTTTGAATTAGTGAGACCAAGGTTAGTATGATGGAATGTAAATTGTTATAGTTTAAGCTTTGTAGTAATCTAAAAACACTGAGCACGAGAATTTCAGCAGGGCTTTAACATTTCCCTCACAGCACTTCCAATGAGTGCTCTGAAGCACTCATTCCTCTCTTCTTGTGATGTCTTCTTCCTCATTTATTTTTCAACTCTTGCATGAATGTTACACTCGAGTACAACGTGGTCTTTTAGAACTAGTGGGCAAGGGTCTCTGCCTGTTGGGTTCCATCTTAGTGTGCTGTACTATCCTAAAAGAGGGGGAAAGAACCCTCTGACATTTTGTCTGGAAGCCATAAAGCCATACTATATCGTATTCATTTCCACTAATAAACAAACTTGTAAGGGGAACACACCCCTGAACCACTAAGAGATTTTAATCATACTCTTTCTGTAAACTGATCCAGCCTGATCTGTCTGATCCATGAACCATGCAAAAATCTTGAGTTATTTTAAATCCCAATTTGCAAGGTTTTCTTTTCAATTTAAGACCTTTCTAAAAAAGAAGCTAAATTGGTTCAGAAGCTAGTAGACAGTCTTAAAAATAAGCTGCTAAAACAAATTCTCTGTACTTATAAAAATACTCCTATGACCACATACATATCTTGCTTTACTGTTACTTGCAAACAAACTTTTTAGTTCACAGAATGCAAGAGAAATGTAATTCATGTTTACATGTAGATTACACTCAAATATTTCAATAAACAGAATACACATTGTCATTCTCTTGTTTGAGAAATCAGTGACGACACTAACTATGCTGATAGCATCAGACCTGAATCAGAAAACTGCTCTTACTAATGGCAACGTGCTTGTTGCCTTAAAATAACTACTCACAGAGCAGTGCAAAAACTGGTAGACCCCTTAACAGTAACAGAAGTTTGGAATGGCCAAGATGAGACATATCACATAAAGAAAAGCTTAGGGAGAAATGAAAGATGAGGAAGTTGATATGGGCTATTACTACTGAAGGATACCTACACATTTTAATCACATGAAGCTCACAGTCAGGACAGATGGTTGGTCACAACTTCCAGATATGCTCATGAACATGTCCTGTGGCCTTCATGTCAGCATGACCTTGAAGATTCTGGTCATGCTTTTAATAGATCTTACAGTAGAACTCCAGATCACAACAGAACCATCACTTTCCTTTGAAAATATTTTATGCAGTTAATCATGCAACTACAGAGGAACCCCTACACAAATTTTGGGGCTGTAAGTATGAAAATTTTTAAAGTAAATTCAGAAGACAGACAATTATAGATTAAGATCCTCATCTCAAACTTTTATTTACTTTACTGCATAAGGAGACAGGCTCAGTTTGTCCAAGTCAGCCAGAACAGAAGTAGCATAACACAACAGCAGCCAGCAGAGTTCATTTGTAAACATGTCTTCCAGTCAATGGGCACTCAGTGAAACGGGTTTCTCAGCAATGCCATATAAATGTTTAACCATGGATTGCTGCATCCATATAAGGCAAAGTAGCCAGTATGTCTGATTAAATAGGTAGAAAAATCTGTGCAATTCCTTGAGCCCTGGAACACATTAAGAGAACAGCAATTCCATAAGCCAGGAGGCTGGGTATCTCAATGCAGACATGAAAACAGCTATATGGAAAGGGAAAGGGAAGGTACGGGCAGCCCAGGATGGTATCAGTAACCCAGGACTAGAAGTCAGAAAAGGACAGAAGATGGAGACAAAACAGGGGAAAAAAACGAAGACAGAAACATTTCAAAGACCACGTTTTGCTCTCAATTTGCTTTGAAAACCTAAGGGAGTACACCCAAAACAGTTAAAAGCACATTAAATTGAACATATTTGAGCCTTCAAGCAGCTTATAGTCTCAATTCAGCCTTTTGGTATTCACATTCAGTACTAGGTGTAATCACAGAATGGCATCTTCGGTTTCTAAAGGACTTCTGCTGTATTTGGGACATAAGTGAGATCTACACCGCAGTGAATGAGAATTAGTGTAGAGGAGGCCATTTTCTCTGTGACCTTCCCTTATTGCAGGTGTTGGAAGGGGCAAACAAGCCAAACATTGCCAGAACAGAAGAGGACTCTGGTCCCGACTCCTTCCTTTAGCATTCACACTACAAAGCAAAACCACTGGGAGCCATACTTTTTTCGAGTACTCTTACCTGAAAAACTACTTGGGAGGAGGGTAGACATTTTCAAATATAGCGGAAAATCAGGAGATACTGTTAACTCTAATGCCAGTGGGCATTGAGTCTCTTATCTATAAAATATTAGCTACTGTATACCTCATGGAGGTACAGTTAGACTAAAACCCTCTTAGTATTTGTGAGCACCGGGCACTGCGCTGACCTCGCAGGAGAATAATCCTTTGTTTTCAACATGATGTTTGAAGACTATGCAATGAGTAAGATAGAGAGCAACATACATAACAATATATTGAACAGCAGCTCACAGCAAGTCAGATTCCTCCGGAATGTGATTCCAGCCCTGAGGGGGAAAGTTCACGAAAAAAGAATGTACATCCTACATATAACTACAGCTGACTGAATAAAGACCGCACAAACAAGTCTTGTTTTAGCATTTTCTAGCTTTGGAGTTTCCTATTTTTGCAATGCTAATCAGAAGAATTAGCTTATTTTCAAATAAGCTACGAATGTGATTGCACAAACTTCTATTTATTACCACCCCACACACAACCAAGTTTTTGCAAGTGAGTGAGGATATACAGCATGTGAACAGAGTAAAGATAAGGTTTATGAAAAGCCACAAAGCACTATGACACACACCACTAAGTATTCGGCAGCTACAAATAGCAATGAAATTCTGCACGGGGACTGAAGAGGAAGTGGAGACTGAACTAAAACGTGTTTGATTGATAAGAAAGTAATCATGAAATTATATAGTTATTAAGGTTGTGACAGTAAGTCCACCCATTCTGTAATGACAAAGTGATTTAAAAAAAACTCCTACAGCAATAAAAAGCATCACTCAACTAGGTTTATGAGAACCCAGGAATATAAATATAAAAGACAGAACCACGCTAATAAATCTAAAGCATAACAGGATAGGCTATTATTTTTTACAATGAGGGTGGTAAGACACTGGAACAGGTTGTCCGGAGAAGTTGTGGATGCCCCATCATCGAAGTGTTCAAGGTCAGATTGGGTGGGGCTTTGATCAACCTAATTTAGTGAAAGATGTCCCTGCCCATGGCAGGGGGGTTGGACTAGATGATCTCTGAAGGTCACTTCCAACCCAAACCATTCTACGATTCTATAGGTGAACAAGTCTGAGGAGCGGAAAACACACCAGTGAAGACTAGATAATTGTAGGCGCTCCTTGCAGTTACTTCTACAGCCAGGATATATATATACACAGATGAATTAACCACCTACACATTTTACCCAAGTAAAGGATATCTAGAAGAGAATACATTCAAGAGTCAAATAAAAATATGTTTACACAAATGCCTTGCTTTGCTTGAAGTATTTTAGATCCCATGTTACCATTACATTTTCCCAATAATTGTGATAGCTGCGTCAATATTAAATTCCACATGGGCAAAAATTTCACACACTGGTCAGGTGCATCAAGAGCTTCAGAAATATTTTTCTGATTGAAGAATTTGAGTAATGACCAGGGTAACACTTGGCTCAAATACAAACAAATAACAACAGGACATGCTACATGTGGGCAGCATCCCCTACAACTGAGACAGTAGTATGACAAAACCACAGAAATTTCTTTCAATATTACTGTGGAGAGCAACAAAATTATCTTCCTGTATTAAACTTCAGAAGACAGTGGTTCAGGAATTAACTGTGAAACTACTAGCTCCTAGGTAATGCGTAGTCAAGTTAGACATTTGCTTGGGAAACTGTTCTGCACTAGTAAGACCGAGCAAAATACTAGCTGAATTTATTTTAAAATAGTAACATAATAGAGGGGTTTGGATAAGTTTGCTGCATCTCTCAGGTCCTTACCCCAAAATCAGGCTATATATCTACAGTAGCAGTATGATGGCCTTTACTACAAACACCCATTTAATCAGCTTTATTTCTGACAGAACTGTATGTGTAAAGAAATGTGTTGTGTACAAAGATCTCATACCTTTTATACCTGCTTGAAACCATCCTGGAGGAATCCTAAAAGAAACAGAAAGGAAAAACTAATTAACATTTTTCTTGTATTTGTACTTTCAAAATACGTTATCACTCCATAGAAAATGAAGCCTGCAGTTAAGAGCAGGAGGCCCATGCCTCAAACAGCTGCTGTACAACTCAGTTTTGCACTATTTTGCTGTCAGGAATAGACAGAATACCAGGATTATTGTCACTGTGTTAATGGCTTCCGAACATCAGCTCAGAACCATTAAACAACAGCTTCTGGTTACATCTTAAAGCTGGATGCACTTACTCCGTCCCCCAGCATCCAGAAGATGCAGCTTACCAAAACAGTATACATCCTGCCACCAATACGCTTTCACTACCACCACTAATACTGAAACACTTGTGCACTTTGATAGCTGTTCATCTACTTGTCCAAGAGCAGCAGAGCAAAACTGTTCCGATTCTTCGGCACCACTGCTGTCCTTTTGAACGGACCAAAAACTGAAGCCAGCGAGTAGTACAGGGTTGAGACCCAAATCAATTTATTGCGTATCAGCTGGGTCATGGTAACCACAGGTATGCTCTTCGCCATGCTAACCGAGGTGCTGCAACCTGGCTCACCTCAGTTTCTCTCAGGCTAACTGAAGTGGTCTTCTCCTGGCATTTGCTGCTAAGTACGTAGGCTAGAAGTCTGTACATGGATGTTTCATGCACTCAAATGTCAGACAGTGACTTGTCAAGCTACGGTAAGTCGATTTTTGATCACTGGTTTCTAAGCACCTGCAGAGGCTTAATGCATTCTGACTACAAACTTAAAGAATACTCTGCATCTCCTTTGATTCGTGCTTTGGAAATTATCTTAACAACTGAAATAGTGAGAAACAGAACATATTTTAAATAACAGTGCACATTTTAAATACAAGTTCAACCGTGCAAAAGGTAAAGAATTTCATTGCTTTTCAGATTCCCACAATGCAGTAGGAAGATGTTTTCACTAAGATTAGGTTTTGGTTTGGGTTTTTTTGTTGTTTTTTTTTTTTTAATTTGAAAAAAATCCATTATGCTTTTATTCTAGCCCTGTAAAGATGGAAATGGAAACAAAGAAAACAATGGGGAAAAGGGCTCATTTATTGTTACACAATCCCTGAAAAAACATCAATGCGTTATGTACAAGTAAGAAATCCTGAAACAATATATTTGCATCAATAATGCTATGCTTGTAGCTTCCCAATACCAGTCTGATCACATAGAAAAATTAAGACATGCTTCAACTGGTAAATGATGGCTCAGATTAGACAGAGTAAGTCCACAAATATTTTTTAGGATGTTGTAAGAAGAACATGAACCAATTATTTCATTAGTCATAGACAAAACTCCTCCCAGCATCAGCAAATATTAGGTAAAAAGTCAGGAAATAATATTTAAGGACTTAATGAACTGAACAATTGTCTTTACTGGAAAAAATAATGGCAAAGCATGAAATTCTATTTATGACAGTAACTGCAGACAAAAGAATAAATGAGTTCTCAAAACAAGATGCAAGAGAAATTCCATCCACTCTGAAAAACCTACGAAACATTAACTGCCTTCACTGATCAGTGTATTAATGTCTTTGTAAGTAAATAAACAAGCTAAAAAATAGGATTATAAAAGTATTATTATAGAAAATAAAGTTGACAAAAATATTTGTATTACAGAAACAAAACTTGATCTTAAAGTGCATTTTGTTTTATGAAGCATTTTCAACTTCTGCAATATGTGCTACACTTTCCCTAATATAAGCAGAAGAACAATATTCAACAAAGTTAAGTCATGGGAATTATTTGAAGAAACCCACAAAGTGGTGTAAAATCGCTGTTTTAACACTGATAACTTTTATCATTGATGACAGCATCTGAAAAGTAGCAATTCACAGCTATGAAACAGCAACCTAATTTCACCTCTAAAAGGGCAAAGGAAACAGAATTTTAAATGGTACCAATGCTATTTTTAAAGTTTACTAAGGATACATTATTTTTGAAAGGTCATGGCAGTAGGGGGAGGTTTCTGAGGACCAGAATAAAGTAAATGTCACCCCTATCTTCAAGTAGGAAGATCCAGGGAACTACAGGCCAGTCCTTACCTCAGTTCCCAAGTAGGTGATGGAACAAATCCTGAAGGACAAGAAAGTGAAATCAGCATGAATACGTGAAGGGAAAATCATACCTGACTGACCTGACAGCCTTCTACAAGGAGATGACTGGCTCAGTGGATGAAGGGAGAGCAGATGCTGTTTATCGCGATTTTAGCAAGGCTTTCAACACCTTCCCACATAACATATGTACAGGCAAACTGCTGAAATATGGACCAGGTAAGTAGACTGTGTGGTGCAAAGAGAAGTGACTGGACTACCGGGCTGAAAGAGTTATGAACAGCAGCACAAAGTTCAGCTGGATGCTAGCCACATACAGGGACCAGTACTGTTTAACATCTTCATTAATGACCCGGATGATGGGACAAAGTGCACCCTCAGCAAGTCCGTAGACTACACAGAACTTGGATGAGCGGTTAATAATACATCAGATGGCTGTGCTACCATGCAGAGGGACATTGACAAGCTGGAAAAATGGCCTAACAGAGACCTCATGAAGTTCAAAACAAGAGAAACACAAAGTCTTGCACCTGGAGAGGAATAATCCTAAGTACCAGTACATGCTGCAGACCGGTTGGAAAGCTGCTGTGCAGAAAAGGACCTGGGAGGTCCCGGTGGACACCAAGTTGAACATGAGCCATCAATGTGCCCTTGCAGCAAAGAAGGCCAATGGCATCCTCTGGATGCGTTGCCAGCAGGTCAAGGGAGGTGAACCTTCGCCTCTGCTCAGCCCTAGTGAGACCACAGGTGGAGTGCTGGGTCCAGTTCTGGGCTTCTCAGCATGAGAAAGACATGCTGGAGAGACTCCAGCAAAGGGCCACACAAATGATTAAAGGTTTGGAGCATCTGACACATGAGGAGAAGCTGAGAGTGCTGGGAATGTTCAGCCTGGAAAAGAAAACGCTCAGGAGGTATCTTGCCAATGTGTATAAACACCTGATGGGGTAAAGAAGATGGAGCCATACTCCTACTCCATTGTGCCCAGAGAAAGGATAAGAGGCAATGGACAGAAACTGAAATACAGGAAATTCTACTTAAACATAAGAAAATACTTTCTTACTGTGAGATTAAGCACTCTAGCAGGTTGCCTAGAGAGGTTATGGAGTTTCTAACCATGGAGAGAATAAAAACCTAACTGGCCACAGTCCTGAGCAATTTGCTATGGTTGACCCTGCTCTGTCCGCAGGTGTTGGGCTACAGACTTCCTGAGATCCCTTCCAGTCTTAATGATTCTGTTTCTGCTCTGGTCATCTGAGTTTTCCATCTGCATTCTTCTCTCAGCTTAGTGAGTTTAAGTGAACACACACCTAACATCTGGCAGCTTCAAAGGATTTCATTCTGCCCTCTAATATTGTTATCTAGGGACTTGCCTATCTGAACGTTTACATACAGAGGACTGTAACAGCCTGATTTTTAGCTTTAAGACAGTCAGCAATGACTGACAAGGTGATTTGACTCTGATGTACATGAAGAGATTCAAGTACTTTCATCTAATACATTAAGATACATGTTCACTGTATATGAAAACTGAAATGCCCTATCAGTAATATCAGTCACAGCTCTTGGTGGTGATGGTCTCAGAAACATCCTGGTTGTCCCATTAGCCATAGACAAGTGGTTCAACTCTCTTTTTAAGCTTGGATAGAGAAAGAGAGACACGTAGCTGACTGGGTCAAAATTTTGCCTGTCTGTAGATACAACTCTTGCCAATAAAGTAGGAATTTTGGGCTCTAAGCTTACTCAGTTCTTATTTTTTAAACAGCTTCTTTTTAGGAAAATGCTGTAGCTTTGAGGTTATGGCCATAGTTCCTGGTGAACAGAAGTCTCTGCTTACGGTGAAAGGCAGAACTCACGAGAAAGGGAGAATTTGCACATGACATTGCAGTCTAGTGAAGCACACATACCCTTGTACAAAGAAATCTCTGGATCTTGGATGCTTGTTTTCTACTCTAGACACCAAAGGGATACAATGTATGCATCGTATACCCTCAAATTTGCTAAGACCTTTTCATATAGTAAATGTAAATATAGGCTGTAAAGCAATTTATATACATAGACTCGTACATTTACCTCAATAGGAGACTTCTAAAAGTTTGGCATTACTATTCAGAAAAGCCAGTTCTTCAGAAAAAGAAAGCTGGGAAAGCAAACAAATGCTCAGGGACAAAGTACGTGGCAAATACTCTCATTTGCTACAAATGACACCTGTTAAAACTAAAAAAACAATTAACTGGCCCTTTGTAACAGATGTTTCTACAGCAAGTATTAGTGGTTTTTATTTTTGTATTTAAAACTAACTATGAACAAAAAGTTAAAAACACACATCTGATGCATAAAAACAATCTCCTCTGATAACCAAATTAATACTTCAGATTTGGTAAATTGTGACTTTTATTATTTTGGAATCTTTAATGTAAATGCAAACCAATCATTCTTTAAGGTGATGATGCAAGCACCAGGGAAATATTATTTATCTCTGTTATCATGTTATGAAATTTATTTTGTGTGTGTTATTTACCCAAAACTTGCTGGGAACAGGAATATATGTAGTTATACTATAAACAGCATTATGTGTCTATTAACCAAAAATGAATCTAAGCTTTCAAACTATTCAAAAGCTCTTGAAATGAGGCAAACATCTCATAATTTAAGATCGTCTCCTCCACCACTTTTGGAGAAGATACGGTTGGCAGAAAATGAAGGGGAAGGAGAAAGCGAGACGATTCCTGTTCTGCAAAGAACTAACCTAAAAGCAGATGATTTGGCATGTATATAAATACTAATTTACAAATCTTGCTTATATTCTTAAATATTTTTAAACTTTGAGTTTTAACCCATGTTTAAAATATCTAGTAACTACTATAAAAATGAATGATTTGACAAAGTAATTGTTTATGAGCAATGA